TACATGTAGTTTATAGTAAATATGGAACTATAAGAAATAGTTATAGAATTTTGTGTTATTTTCGTATGAATTGTTATTTGGTAAACTTATAAATGCTTGTTGGAGTCATAATAATAACCATTAGTTTCTATCATCACTTGAAATGTTAATATTAGATGTTGAATTATTATTCATTGTTTTAAAATGAGTTGAATTTAAATATGTGTGTACATCTTCATAATAACATTATAATGACGAGGACGTCATTCAAGCTAAGTGTGGGAGGATGTCAGGATTCGGGTCCCTTTGATTAATTAGGAAATCTATTTAAGGAATTATTAAATGTAGTTGCCTCCCTTTAACTGTGTGGAGATGAGTCGGTTAATTATAATTATGCATGACGTGGGTTTTGGCGCGTGCTGGAGAAGCGAGGGGGCGAGAGGAAGACAGGTGGTGGAGCGGTTAGCTCGGCGGTCAGCCAATAAGTTTTCTAATGAAGTTGTGAGGCGGTTAGCCATATGAAACTCCTACAGACTTATAATAATATGTAGATATATGCTGCTACGTAATGACTTATTTGGAGATGAATAAATTTTCAAGTTTATGATGAACATAATTAGTCAAGTCTTATTTGATTTGTGAATGTGATGAACGATACACCCGGCCGGTGACAAAACTTATTTAGTCAAATAAATAAAAGTGTAAAGAATATTTCAGGGTGTGTAGTGTTTCCCTCTTATTGGGACATTTTTGCGCTATCACCCTGATTTATTAATTAATAGTTTTATTTGTGGTGTAGGACAGGTGGCGATTCCCTCTAGGGGACGATTTTTCGCTTCATCCTACATTGTATAATTTGATTTATTAATTTTATCGAAGTTTTATTAGTAGTGTAGGGCGGTTTACGCTTCCTTCTAGAGGACATTTTTACGTTCCGCCCTACTGTTAATTGATTAATTTTATTAATTGCTTTATTAATTTTATCGGAGTTTTATTAGTAGTGTAGGGCGGTTTACGCTTCCTTCTAGAGGACATTTTTACGTTCCGCCCTACTGTTAATTGATTAATTTCATTAATTGATTTATTTGGTCATGCCTATATTTATTATTAGTGTAGGGCGGTTTACGCTTCCTTCTAGAGGACATTTTTACGTTCCGCCCTACTGTTTAATTTTATTATTTTATATATTTGGTCATCCCTATATTCTCAATAAAATCCCAGACAAGTTGTGATGTCCAGTATCTATCGTCGGGTTGTGGAGAAAGGAGAGATTTGAGACAGAGAGTTTTTCCCCTCTCTGCTAGATTCTTAATTACGGATTGACGTTCTTTGTTTAATTGATTACAGTTGATTAGCAGGTGTGACGTGGTCGCAATTTGTCCACATGGGCATTTAATTGGTGTAAAGGTGAAGTCTTTTATTACGTTTATCGTTTTAAGCCTCGTGATGAGTTTGCATATTTTGATTGAGGGATGATTGATGTAAACCTTGTCTACAAGATTGCTGGAAATACCTTAACCTTTATTTACGTGTCTGACCATAGATATCATTAGTGATTGGTTGATTTATTGTTTTGATTATGCAGTCACGTGATCAGCACCGATTAAGATAACTTATTTTCGAGAACAGTACGCTAATTATATAGTGATTTTGAAAATATTTCACTACAAAGTCAATAGGGGGCAGATCATATATCTAGTTGGTAATTGGCTGATTGGGACCATGGCTGATTGGGACCTGGCTGACTGGGACCAGATTTGTGGCTGACTGGGACCAGATTTGTGGCTGATTGGGACCATATTCTTGGCTGACTGGGACCAGATTTATGGCTCATTCGGATCATATGTTTGCATGACAATAAATATTTTAATTGGTAAATATCATTTTATTTCATATATAACGAGACATTTGGTGGCGATTCAATTCCTTTACAAACCAATATTTTATTATTTAGTAGTAGCCGAGACAGAGACCTTCCTGATCTAGTCAAGTGTTGAATGCAATACACTAAATTGGTTGACAAATGTGTAAAATTTTCTTAGTAATATACACATTAAACAAAGTTAATTAAATCACACTTTATAGTATAAAACTCCGGTAGCAATATATACAAGACCCTTTTCACACCATTTATTGTTAATTAAGGCGACATAAAAAAAATTAGTTGGTGATCGTCCCCGCCCGCCCAGAAAATTCTACCCGACCAGAATTTTTTTTTATTTTTTATTTTCAAAATTTACCTTCTTACGACGTTTAAAACCAATGGTTAAAGTTACAAAAATAGCCAGACTAAGAAATTCCTAAGCGCAAGAATTAATGAAGTGGATATAATTATTGACACGTGTTCCAATACTCTTAAAAAAATGCGTAGGACTGAATGAAATAAACAAATTGCGACCTGTTTAACGGCAGCAATGGCCGACATTTTCGTTTGCACGCGTACAGCACCAAATACAATAATTTGAATTACAATACAACCTGGAACTATATGTTAAGATGGACGTCTCGCCGATTCTGAATGACATGGAACAGTCTCTCGAATAAATGTAACAACAGATTTTTCGGAATGGCCATTGGTGGTATGAAATTCTATGAATGACTAAATCGACTGATCATTAGATCTAGTGATCGTAAGTCATTATGCAAAATGTTTTTTTTTCGGGTTTTTTTTCACACACTATACGGGTTCTTCTGGTCTTACTTTTCGCAAAATACAATATTATGAAAGTTGAATGTCTACAAAGAATATCAGTCCAAAGACATGATATGAATTGAAAATTTTGCAACATTTGATATCCTGCAACATTAAACCAGCACCACCTATAGGCCTAAGTGTTCAGTTATAAATCTCTTTATATTATTATCTGATATTAAACCCAAGCCGGAATATCTAAAGTTTAAATAATTAATCTGAACAATTCAAATGACGATCAGCGGCTTTATATGCAGATGAGTTGTGTTTTGACATGAAATAAAAGGTTAATATTCCTGAAGTATATTGCTTATTCTGTATATTCATTAAAAAAAAAAAAAACCTCCCCCCCTCCCTCCCACATTTTTTGAAAAAAAGGACGATCACCAACTATTTTTTTTTTAGGTGACCTAATGACAAGCCTAGTTATAAAAACCAATAAAAAATCAGATCCAATCACACATTGAGTCAATAAGACATGACAATATAGACACATTTTCAAATAATCTAAATAAGGCTGTCTAGCCAAAAGTATCAAAAGTTTTGAGTTTTAAAATTTTGTTTTTGTGATCTTTATTTTTGACATACCTATCAGTCCGTTCATTTCACCGACACCCTCCCCTCCGAATCAAAGTGGTCTGAGCTTCATTTGTCTAGCTTACCCTTCTAATTTTACCAGAATCTCTAAAATCTAAAGCAACAAGGGTGGTGGTTGTGAAGGGTGTCGGGGTATATTACATAATCACTATATATAAAGGCAGAATCAGTCTCTTTTTATTTCCTGAAGAAGGGGCCGGGGGTGGTGGAGGGGGGATAGTTAGTACTGGCAAGGAAAAGTTTGGCATAGAAATTCACTTTTTTCTTCTATTGATTGATGGGCATGTGGGACAAACCAGTAGTTGGACTAAGTCCCAGAAGAGGCATGATTTTTTTTTATCATTTTATAGTAAACTAGACCTTTTACTGATAGCAATAGTACTAGTAGGAGATTACTACATCCACTAGCTTTGTGATGATAGGGCAACTATAATTGGCTGGCGTCCTGCAAAAGAGGTCTTAAGAAATGAAATGGGGCTTAACGTCCTACTGTTCTGCTCCGACTGAGCTAATGAAGTCAGCTAGGCCTTAGTTAAGGATAGCAATATGCCAATAGTGCAATAGTATATATATTAGGCTTGTAGTTAAAGTAAGAATTACTACGCCCACTAAAATTTAAGATGACAGGGCATCTATAAATCATTAACTCCGAGGCCAGCCTAGACAGTTAATAAGGTGTCCAGGCCAAGCGCTACAACTTGGAACTAAACAAACTACAGTGTATGCTATTGGTTTGGGAATGATATAATATATAATGATACATAACCAATCAAATGGCATGCTCACTCAGCTTTTTTTTGTTTTGTAATTTATTGAAAAATAGGCTAGTCTGTGTGCTGTCTCTAGGCCTAATCTATGACTATGTTCCTTTTAGATTCGAGACACCAGTGTTGGACTTTTAGGCCTAGCAGTTTACTTTGAACTTTAAGAAGACTATTCATTCCCATTCTTTTTCTGGGAAGCCTACCGACGGACCAGGATGTCTAGCTTAGCTACAGTTACAGTACTATTCACTATATATTCACTACTACTTAGCCTACTAGACTAGAGCCAGACGGATATTATCTATGGCCTAGACGAGTACTGTGACCCGAGGAGTAGCGTAGGCCTACAGAGCAGGGACAGGTAACAGTTACAACAGGCCTGATTCGTAGTCGAACCCTAGCGCAGTAAATTAAAATTACATAAATAGATCCTTCTTTCCGCTCCAATCTCGCGCCAAATGGTCCGGGAAAGATAACTCACAATACCGAGTGAGAAAGACGAGATAGTCCAGTCCCTTGTTAAGTGATCGGCCGTTGTTATCTATTGGTATAAGATATTATGGTACCGTACGGTACGGACGGCCTGCCGTTGTTACCAGTAGTATAAGGATTTTGTTACTAACAGATTCCTTATAGTAGTGGGTAACATTGCTGGATCGGGTGCTCCTTCTGTTAACTATTGTCTTCTGTACATATATATAAAAACCTAATTATCCTCTTTTTCACTAATCACATTGTAAATTATTGCACCTTGAATACATAACATGTTATTGTCTGCGATATCACCTCGGTGGAAGCGGACGTAAAATACAACTAACTAACAACAACAACTGTCAGTGGACATCGTCCGCTCCGAGACAGTTCCTAAAGGAACTACGCTAGGGATGAAGATTGCGCCTAACATCTAATAGACACTATAGTAGACGTCATTGTTACCGTCATACAGCCGAGATGTCTCATGTAGAGTAACGGAATCCACCGAAGTTTGCCGAGTGTACGTCGGATGTTAATATGACTACGCCATCTTGTTGATTAGAGAAGTGCATGCGATTTTGTGTTTTCAGAAACTAGGCTACTGGCTAGTAGTTTCAAGCAAAAGCAATGGCAACCCTTTCACCAGATGCGGTAAGCTTATAGTGAAGGCATGGACGGAATAAGGATTAGAGTTCAAGTATAGGCCTAACACTTTTAGACTAGATACGTAGAGTTGAGCAAGCCGAGCCTAGTTTACACTAGAGTAGATAACAAACCTTATTCCTTAATCTCTCAACCCTCCGTGTTTCGAGATAAGAGATGAGGCCATTACCTTCAATGTAGCACATGCGAGAGCGATTCGCACCCGGCATTTGTAAACAAAATTGACAATATTTTTAATCAAAACAACGATTGGTTATTGTTATTTATAATATTTCTGCCACACCCAACTACAATTAAGCATATAATCCTACCTGAAACGGGTACAAATCCCCTCTTTTTAAATCAAAGTGACAGTAGATCGCTTTTTCCGACATTTTAAATTTACGTCTGTACACACATAAAGGCGGGGTCTCGTGTGCAATAGCCAATCAAAGTACCCATCTGATCAGAGTTGCGCAGTAGGTATTACGGGTTATGGACATAACGGCCAAAAGCAAAAACGGCCAAAACATATTTGGTCATAATGGTCAAAATTTGGTCACAATGGCCAAAATTTGGTCATAACGGCCCAAAAAAATTTTGGTCACAACTCCCAAATTTTCTCCTACCTGCCCTTAATAATAGCCAAGTTTACAGAGTTTTAGATTAAAAAAAAAATAATTAAAATTTTGTTAATGGTTGTCAAAACATCCTTTATAACTTTTTCAATCTTGCAATTTATAAAGTTTTAAAGTTCTTTTGTCTTATGTGATTGTCACAACATTATCCCAAATTAACCATCTGGTATAATTCGAGCCTTTTCTCACAATGATGAGACATTCTTGTCTCAATGATTATCAAAACATCCTTTATAACTTTTTCAACTTTTAAAAGACACCATTGTTTAAAGCTTTTTTTTTATGTAATTGTTGAAACCCCTTATTAAATTAGCCCTCTTTAATTGGACCATTTTTGTATAATGTTGAGGCATACTTGTCTCATGTTCTCACGACAATTTAGATTATATATAAATTAAAATGAAGTGAATCATAATCATATTTTGTCTACAATATCACCTTAGGTGGAAGTGGACGTAAAACCCCAGAAACGAACGAAACGAATCATAATCATTCGTTGATCTATATTTCCTAAGATCAGATGCTTGACTCTACTCTTGTGTCATAATGAAGTGTGTTTATTGTGCCAAAACTGTCAAAAAAATCAGCATGCTGTTTCTTGTGATGCATGTGGTAGTTGGACACACAGATTATGTGGTACAGACATTTCGAAGGAAGACTACTTAAGAGCCCAAGACCAGACTATCAGTTTTGTGTGTTCTGTCTGCAATGTCCCTGTTGGAAACTTTTCACTAAATGCAACAATTGAATCATCACTATTAGCTTCTTCTGAAAGGTAGGTTCAGATGTTTTATCAATTTATTTATTTAGATTATAAATAAATGTATACGGTGCATTTTCCATATGTTATGAAGATCATATTAATGTTTTTCAGAATTATATACAGTGTATGCATATGTATTTGATAATTTTAATTTTATGTTTTTCAGAATAAATATAAAGTTCATGGTGGCACCCATAGCTTCATAAAAAAAACTAATGAGTTTACCTTTTTTGCCAAAGTCACACATACGTGACATTTTACCAACTTCAGGGTAAAACCACAAACGATAAACTAATTGAGTTAATGGATTATATGGAACGTCAGTGGATTGACCATAGCCTTTTTAAAATGTCATCTTGGAGTGTGTTTAACCAGACAATAAGGATAAACAATAACATAGAAGGTATGTAAAGTGTACAGACTATTCAAAAATTAAGTTTTATCTGGCTTAAATGCATGGTCGCCTATAATGTAATATACCATTTTATTCTACATGAATTTAATTATTTGTTAAATTTTATTTCAGGGTGGCATCGACGCATCAACCACAAGGCTGGTGAGCAGCAGTTGGGGATGTATGTATAAGCTGATAAGCTTTCTTTTTGGAGAAGTCGACATGTTGCCCCTTCAAGCCGCATTATTGTTCGAAGGAAAATTGAGGCGTTATTTCATCCGAACATGTACGAACGCCCAAGAAGAGATTTACCATGCTTGGAGAGAATATGAGAATGGAGATTTGAGTGCTAGCATGATGTTACGGATATGTTCCCGTCACCGTGGACCCGTTGAATAGATAGTCTGGGGCCATAACTCTGGCAGTAATTATCAGAAATCGCTGAAAATCAATAGACTTCTTTATCGCATGACCTTAAACACTGTGTATGAATTTAAAGTCAATCGGATATTAACTTTAGCCTCTAGAGCATCCACAAGAGTTTTTAATGTGATCAAGGGTCATAACTGGCAGTAATTATCAGATGTCGCTTAAAATCAATAGGCTTCTTCGTCCCATGACCTTAAACACTGTGTATAAATTTAAATTCAATCGGATATTAACTTTAGCCAACTCTAATCTCCCTTAATGTATCTTTAAGTGTTAAAACACATTGTATTTTAATACATCGCATTCCTGATATTTCTTCTTCCTCTTTTGAATTAATATATTTGTTTCAATTGATCATGAACATATGCCTCCGTGTTTATTTTTTGTTGTTATTTTTGTTATAAAATAATTTATGGCCATTCAAAAATAAAATATATTAAAATTGTTTTTGTTCTTATGTTTTTTGAATATTTTGATTCATTAAACCATTACCAAAAAATATTTTGGCCGTTATGACCAATGTTTTGGCCGTTATGACCAGAAATTTTTGACCGTTTTTTCTTTTGGCCGTTATGTCCATAACCCGATATTACGGCGTAATTATGAACGTCCGAATCAATTTTGATAAAAACTTCCGTTCGACATGCGCTGTTGTGCAATTCTTGATATATTCCACCATTTTGACAACTCCGGCTTTCAAGTTCGGCGCAGAAGCACGATTTTACGGGAAAAACAAAAAACACTGACAGTCTTAGTACTTAAATTAAAAACCAAAATCCGCAGAACAGAAATGCGCCCTCGACCAAAATAGAATAATATTCTAAATGCTTTTCTACAATTTACATTTATTATCTTATTTTCTTTTAAAAGTTTCTACCATAGAAATTCAAGAATGGCTATTTCGTCCCTTTATAAGAAACGGAGAAAGAAGTAATGTTAGACAAAAGAGGAATAAAACTGTTGGGTTAGGGTTCGGGTTCTGGTTATGGGTTAATGTCAGACGGCAAAGTAGCCCACGAGTTGAAATAGCCGGCATCAAGTCCAGGAATAAGAGAACTGCGCATGTCAAACAGAAGTGAAAATGAACCAATCAGAGCGCGACTGCTGGCAAAATAGACACTGCCTAAAAACAACGCTTCATTTACTTTATTGTCAATATTTGCTGATAAATGAATGTTGTTTCAGTAGATTGGACTGCGTATGTGTAATAAGTACTAATAGTATAAAATTAACTTATTTTTAAGATGGTACACACATTAATAAAGAAACTGAGTTTGCCACTTGGAACTAAAGGCATCCAATCTTAGCTAAAAACAAGCACATCAGTATATCTCAGCGTTTTTAGTTAGTTCTCGTAGCTAAGTTTACACTAACGGATGGCCCATTCACTTCTTGATTTGATATTTGGAAAACAAGGAGGGGTACGGCAACACTCCCTTGAATAAGTAGAAAAGCTGGACAGGCTTGTACACCTGCGTAGGATCTGGATCAAAAAATGATGCCGGCGGGGCGGAATAGTAGAATAGATAAAATTCAAGAATCCCCGCCAAACAGAACCAGCAACAGACTTGTAGATTTAAAAGATCTTTATATTAATCCAACGTTTCGGGTGCAATACCCTTTTTCAAGAATCTTGGCGGGGATTCTTTAATTTTATCTGATTTGATATTTGTTTATTTGGTGCAATGTCTATTTTCTGTCTTGTCTGCAGGTTTATCTTGTAGATTTTTGTTTTACTTGTAGTGCGGTCCTCCTGCACTTACTATTAGAGTAGAGATTTAACCCTTCGTACTGCAGAATGACTAAATGTTCTCGTCAGATTTTGCTCCGGTTTGCTCACTAGACTAGGCCTACACTTATTATTTTAGCGTTTTCCGAGATTCTATCCGGATTATCGCCCATATAAATATTGTAGGGTGACCCACCATAAATAAATATCTCCAAATATCTTGACAATTTCACCATAATTTCTATCATTAACTCCGTCATTCGCCTGGTGAATCTGTGTCATTGTCTGTGTCAGACACTTTGTCATTCATCCGTTCGGTTAATTCTGTCATTCACTTTGTCATTCGTCCTGCAAATCTATTGTATTCTCTGTCATTTGTCTGGTGAGGCTGTGACATTCTCTTTGTCATTCGTCTGGTGAACGTGTGTTTCATTCTCTGTCAATCGTCTGCTGAACTACTGTCATATTCATCTGGCTGATATTCACTTTGTTAACCATCCAGTTATCATCTTGTCATTCTTTTGGTGAACCTGTGTCAAGACTCATTCGTCTAGTGAAGCTCTGCCATTCACTTTGTCATTCGTCTTGTTAACCTGCCATTCTTTTTGTCATTCGCCTTGAGAGGCGGCCTGATGAATCCCTGACAGTCACTTTGTCGTTTGACTGGTGAACCCCTGCTGAATTCGTCTTGTCATTCACGTCAGTCGGCTGGTGAACCAGTGTCATTTAGTTTGTCATTCGCTACGTCATTCGTCTGGTGATTTCTGTCATTCACTTTGTCATTCGTCTGGTGTAGCTCTGCAATGACAAAATGGCACAGGTTCACACACGAATGACAAAGGTTCAATACACGATTGACAGAAAATGACAGAGGTACACCAGACAAATGACAGACAGAATGACAAACAGAATGACAGAGGTTCACCAGACGAATGACAAACAGAATGACAGAGGTTCACCACACGTATGACAAAGAAAAATGACAGATGTCCACCAGACAGATGAAAAACAGAATGACACAGGATCACCAGACGAATGACGGAGGAACACCAGACGAATGACAAACAGAATGACAGGTTCACCAGACGATGACAGAGGTACACCAGACGAATGACAAAGAATGATATAGAGATTCATCACACCAATGACAGAGGTACACCAGACGAATGACAAACGGAATGACAAGTTCAACACACGGATGACAAACAGAATGACAGAGGTTCACCAGACGAAGGGCAAAGAGAATGACAGAGGTTAACCACACGAATGACAAAGTGAATGATAGAGATCAACAAGAAGAATGAAAGGTTCACGAGAGGAATGAAATAAAATGTACACAAGTTCACCAGAAGAAGAGCTTCGCCAGACAAATGACAGAAGTACACCAGATGAATGACAAACAGAATGACAAGTTTAACACGCGAATGTCAAACAGAATGACAGAGGTCCACCACACGAATGACAGACAGAATGACACATGCCCACCAGACGAATGACAAACAGAATGACAGAGGTTCAATACACGAATGACAAACACCAATGACAGAGGTACACCAGACGAATGACAAACGGAATGACAGGTTCAACACGCGAATGTCCAACCTCGTGGGTTTTCTCCGGGTCCTCCGGTTTCCTCCCACTGCTAAAGACCCCTACGTGCAAGCGAATTATGTAAATAAAATTAAAACCATATGTTAGTCCCGAAATGACCTAGTTTGTGTCGAGTGGACGTTAAACCCCATTTCTCTCTCTCTCTCTCTCAACACGCGAATGACAAACAGAATGAGAGAATTTAACCAGACGAATGACAAAACAGAATGACATAGGCTCACCACACCAATGACAGAGAATGCCAGAGGTTCATCACACAAATGACAGAGGTTCACCGGACGAATGACAAACAGAATGATAGAGTTTCACCACAGAATGACAATCAGAATGACATAGATTCACCACACGAATGACAAACAAAATGAAAGAGATTCACCACACGAATGACAAACAAAATGACAAAGGTTCACCACATGAATGACAAACAGAATGACAGAGGTTGACCACACCAATGACATAGAATGACAAAGGTACACCAGCCGAATGACTAACAGAATGTCAGAGGTTCACAATACGAATGACAAACATAATGAAAGAGGTTCACGGGACGAATGCCAAACAGAATGACAGAGTTTAACAACACCATTGACAGAGATGCACCAGCCGAATGACAAACAGAATGACAGAGGTTCACCACATGAATGACAAACAGCATGACAGGTTCACCAGATGAATGGTGAACTGAATGACACAGGTTGACCACACGAATTACAAAGTGAATGACATAGGTTCACCACACAAATGACAAACAAAATCTATATGACCTTATGAATTTTATTAATATGTGAATGTAAACCAAAAGTTAAAATTATTAATACATATTAAATAATTCTTGGTTGAACAAAATATTGATTTTAAAATTTAAAAATGCATTTTTTGACAAAATGGCGTCACTTTCGGTGTCAATTTTAAATTGTAATCAATTTGATACGACGCATACTTGCTTTTTGAATCAAATGGTGTCACTTTTGTGAAAATCCAATAATAATTGACTATTTTACAGGCAAAATAACGAAAACAGTGACTTATGCAAAATTGCCCATTTCTAGGTAACTGCTTATATTACAAACTTATTTTAACATACATTTTCTTCGTATGGATTATAGCTACAAGTTTATAAAAGTTACGTAGAAATATTTTAAAATCTGAAAAGCCCGAATGGGTTGTAAATAGGTCAATTTTACACCTTGAAATGTGGACGTATATTGCCGTCGCCCCCATCTGTCTGTCGGTCCGTCCATCGTCCACAATTTCTTGTAAACGCTCTAACGCCAAAAGTTATCATCCAATTGTTTTAAAATTGATATATGTTGTTTACATTTGTGAGATGAAGAAGCCTATTTAATTTCAATAATTTCTGTTTATTATGTCTAGAGTTATGGCCCTTGTTTCACTTTGTTGAACCTTGTGAACGCTCTAACGCCAAAAGTTATCATCCGATCTTTCTGAAATTTATATGCATTATTTAGATTACTGAAACGAAGAAGCCTATTGAATTTCAGCAATTTCCGTTTATTATGTCTAGAGTTATGGCCCTTGTTTCACTTTATTGATCCTTGTGAACGCTCAAACTTCAAAAGTTATCATCCGATCTTTCTGAAATTTATTTGCATTATTTTGATTACTGAAACGAAGAAGCCTATTGAATTTCAGAAATTTCCGTTAATTACGTCTAGAGTTATGGCCCTTGTTTCACTTTATTTATCCTTGTGAACGCTCAAACTTCAAAAGTTATCATCCGATCTTTCTGAAATTTATTTGCATTATTTTGATTACTGAAACGAAGAAGCCTATTGAATTTCAGCAATTTACGTTAATTACGTCTAGAGTTATGGCCCTTGTTTCACTTTATTTATCCTTGTGAACACTCTAACGTCAAAAGTTATCATTCGATCTTTCTGAAAATTATATGCATTATTTAAATTAGTGAGACGAAAAAGCCTATTGAATTTCAGCAATTTATGGCCCTTGTTTCACTTTATTGAACCTTGTGAACGCTCCAACACCCAAAGTTATCACCCAATCTTTGTGAAATGTATATGCATTATTAAGATTAGTGAAAAGAAGAAGCCTATTGAATTTCAGCAATTTCCGATTATTACGTCTAGAGTTATGGCTAGAGGTGGGCGATATAACCGGTATACCGGTGTATTGCGATTCAAACTTGCCAATACATCATATCGTGATACACGTCCAAGAACCGGTTCAGTCAATACGATCGGCAACTTCCGTAATAATTATCGGAATATTCCGTGAGATTGTCAATTTTATTGAAAACTTGAGAATTTCCTTAATAATATTACACACTAATAGTTGCGAGAATGTCATTTGGTCATTTAAGAAATAAAACTATGCTTTATTTATGGCTAAACCATGTAAATTAAAAAAAGATAGTCTCGTTCATCTTTCGTTGTCCCGTAAACAAACCAAAATGGCGGGCGTCGAAGCAGACGCCAATTTTACAAAAGTGGCCAATACTAAGGCAAAAGCTGGTATCTGGAAACATTTCAGTTTGAAGAAAATGAAAACAGATGGGCATTTAATGTTGAATGTTGCATTATGCAATAAATGTAACGCGGAAGTGAGGTATTCCGGGGGGACAACAAATTTAAACACGCACATGAGGCGACACTATTCGTTTACAATAGGCCTATCATCACAATCAAATGAATCGAAATCTGTCAGTAACACAACACTATACAGTCAAGCTCCCAGCAGGTTTCTACTGTCAAAAAACGAGAGTCAAGCACGATCTCAGGATATTTTGGAAACACAACCAAATACAGCTCAAAATCAATACGTGCTTTATTAATCACGGACAAGATTGCTAACTTTATTGTGAAAGATCTCAGGCCTTTTCGAATTGTTGAATCAAAGGAATTTCGAGAATTATTATCTACTTTGGACCCACGATATCAAGTCCCGAGTCGTAAGCAGTTCTCTGAAATAATCATCCCTAAGATGTATGAAGAAATGAAACTACTTGTTCAGAAGGACTTGTCATCAGCTGAAACGGTAACTTAACATGAAATTCTTATTTTCTGTATAATCATGCTTCTTGCATTTGATATGTAAACTGAAGCGTAATAAAATCATGAATAATTGTAGACACTTTGAATGATAATTGTTAATTTGTTATAAAAAAATTTGTTATTTCAATATCTGCCTTATTTTAATATGTTTTTTTAATTTTAATCTGGTGTATTTGAATTTTTTGAAGTGTTTAGTTTAATTTCCATTATTAAAAAATCAAATCAAATCTATTGTGCAAGCTATAACAAATTTTGATCAATTCAATTTTTTTCAAAAACCAATATAACACAGTAAACTATAGGCCTAATAACAGTGCACAATCACAGCCTGTATTCAAACGTATTCAATGACTGAGTGATCAATAATCAATAATCAGTTATGTAAATAGATCCATTTTAAAAGTTCATTATCAATTAAATATTTATGTTTGTGTAATATATATTTTAAAGACTAGTAGTTTTTATTCAAATTTAAATCATTGGCTCATAATTTAAATTTACAGGTAGCACTTACAACAGATGGCTGGTCCTCACGTGCAACAGAATCATACATGACGATTACTTCCGTCCACATTAATGTTGATTGGGAGCTTGTGAACTATGTGCTGCAAATACGTGCACTCCCAGAAAGTCACACAGGTAGATGAATATAAGTTGACATTTAAGTTAAAATTCTAAATATTCCATATTAATGTATTCTTCATTCAATGACTCCTGAGAGAGAAATGAATACATTTAAAATGTATATTCCAAATTCAAATCTCATTATTTATTTATTTTTATTTATTACTTCATAGAATAGTCTTTACTCATTTGACTGATATCTTTGATTCAATGTCTAATAGTCTATTATCTGACCTAAAATAGGGAAACTTAAAATTGGTATGAATTTTAGATAATTAGACAAATGTAATTGTAAATTCAGTAAATTGTAATGAATGAAATAGACAACTCTCCATGTTTGCTTTATATTTACAAATTTTGAATAATTATATTAAGTCTTTTCAAACCTCACCGTTAATTTCAATTTTCAAATGTGATGAATGATAATAATTTAATGAATAATGTTTAAGTAAACAAAACATTTCTTAATACAACAGTTTGTTTCTTAGCTGTAATTTGCTTTATTAAGTTCATTATTTGAAAATTTACAGGTGAACATGTGGCAGAGGTTCTAAACGAAGCAGTTACTGAATGGAACTTGCCAGCAATTGATGGAGCCCCTCCCTTGGTTACCGACAATGCAAGTAACATGTTGAAAGCAGGAAAACTTTTCGAAACCAAGCTGCATGTCACCTGCTTTGCTCACACACTTAACCTTGCCTGTCAAAAATGTCTAAAAGTAAAGCGTGTGAGTCATCTACTTGCTAGGATTAGGCAACTGGTCTCGTACTTTCATCGAAGCAACATGGCATCAGCAGTATTGAAAACTAAAGCCCATCTTCTTTCTGTACCAGAGCACAAACTCATCATCGACGTGTGTACCCGTTGGAACAGCTCTTACGACATGTTACAGCGATTCCTCGAAATGCATGTGGCTGTTTTTGCTACACTTCGGTCCAAAGAGTTAAAAGTTAAGGACTATAAGTCTTTTTCAGATGAAGACCTTACACTAGCTGAAGAGGTTACCAAGCTTCTCAAGCCCCTGAAGGATGTGACAGTTGCTCTGTGTTCAGAAAAGATTCCCACGGTTTCTCTCATCATGCCTTTACAACATCAGCTGATGAACTGAGTTTTAGTGCTATCTGATGACGACTCTCCAATGATCCAGGAGATGAAAGAATCTCTGATTGAAGACCTGAAAAATAGGTATCTTGAACAAAAACCAATGCTGTACATATGCTCTGCCTTAGATCCAAGGTTCAAGATGTTACCCTTCCTCTCAGAAGAAATCCGCTTTGATGTCTTCAACCAGGTTGCAGCTAAAGCTGCTACGATTCACATCAATAGTCCTGCAAAGAAACTCAAGATCAAGAAAGAAATTGATCCAGCACTTCCTGAACTTCCTACTCTGCCAGATGATCCCACAGAAGATGATGGACATGATGGAAAAGATGCAGATGCAGTAGTATGTCCAATTTTCCCATCACCTTTGAAGAAGATCAAGCAGGAGCCAGAAAGTTGCGGAAGTACCAGCAATTTCCTTGGTGACATCTTTGAGGAGGTATATATCTGTGGACAAGATCCACGTCAAAAGCAAAGCCCACATGTTCTTGCTCAAAACGAATGTAAACTTTACAACGAGCTACCCCCGATTGCTCTCACAGAGTGCCCGCTGGCATGGTGGAAACAAAATGAATACAGGCTTCCAGTTTTAGCAAGACTTGCTAAACAAGTCTTGTGCATTCCTGCTACTAGTGTACCCTCAGAACGTGTGTTTTCTACGGCTGGCAACATTTTAACAGCTCAAAGAGCTACACTGAAATCCAAACATGTTGATGTTCTCCTGTTCTTGAAAAAAAACTCAAAATGACTTGTGCGGCTATTGCCTCAATAGTGAAAGTGGTTACATTGTCACAAACTGACACTAAGTAGATTTTTACTCAACTTTTTTGACAGACAATCATTAGAATAATGTCTCACTTGCTTTTTAAGTTGTTCACCAGTTAAGGAGTTTTTACCAGTAAAGAGGTTTTAACCAGTTAAGAAGTTTTAAATTGTTAACAATGTTATTCAAGTTTGAAGTGTTGAGATTTCCAGGTGCCTTATTCTAGTCACTCCTCAGTCCTCAGTTAAGACTTTGTTGTGACTTGTGAAGTTGTGAGTGACAAGACAATCATTTCAAAACTATTTTGAATTGATCATTGAATGACATTTAATCATTGATAGATATTATTCTGCAATGTACTCATTGTACTATCAGTCTGTCAGACTGTCACTCCCAGTGTCACATTGGACATTTTTTCAAAGATTACTTATTGTTGAAAGAAAGAAATAAACACATGGGTTTTGTGGATATCTTGTTCTTGTAGTTGACTAGTTGTACAATAGAGGAATTGCATGTTCAAAGACCTTCACATGAGTTTCAGTGTTGCTATGAGATACATTTAAGGCTTTACTTTTGCAATAAATCTGGAGTTAACACTTTCACAATATATTGCAATATGTATTGCAATACAACAAATCGTATCGCAATATATCGCAATACGATTTTTTTGATCCTTGTGAATGCTCTAACGTCAAAAGTTATCATTCGATCTTTCTGAAAATTATATGCATTATTTAAATTAGTGAGACGAAAAAGCCTATTGAATTTCAGCAATTTCTGTGTATTACGTCTAGAGTTATGGCCCTTGTTTCACTTTATTGAACCTTGTGAACGCTCCAACGCCAAAAGTTATCACCCAATCTTTGTGAAATGTATATGCATTTTTTAGATTAGTGAAACGAAGAAGTCTATTGAATTTCAGCAATTTCTGTTTATTACGTCTAGAGTTATGGCCCTTGTTTCACTTTATTGATCCTTGTGAACGCTCTAACGCCAAAAGTGACAATTTATATTGTGAAATTTATATGCATGATTTAAATTAGTGAAATGAAAAAGCCTATTGAATTTCAGCAATTTACAATAATTACTTCTAGAGTTATTGACCTTGTTTCATTTTGTTAAACCTTGTTAATGCTCGATTGATGAAAGTTATCATCCGATATGTATGAAATTTATATGCATTATTTAAATTAGTAAAACGAAAAAGCCTGTCAAATTTCAACAATTTCTGTAGATTACTTCCAGAGTTGAGACCCTTGTTTCAGTTTTTAGAACCTTGTAAACCCTCAAACGACAAAATTTATAATCTGATCTGTATGGAACTGTCTTGTAAAGGCCCCCAATTACCTTCAAAGGAATAAAAATGCGACAACCCTTGTCAACCGCTCGGACGATTTAGCTGCTTTGGGCGTATGTTTTGTTGCCTGGCAACCTAACTTTTCACCTCTTAATCGAATTTGCTCGAAAATGAAATCGAAATTAAAAAAAACGATCCCAACATTTTATGCGCCTTTAAAGGGCACACTCTTTTAGTTATATCAGTTTTTTAAAAAAATAATATTTGCTTTCGAAAAATGGTACCTAACTGTCAAAATTGTTATTTTTGGTAAAATTAAGCCACTTCCGGTGCCGACAGATAACTCTATCAGTAACAAAAAAAATGACAATTGAGACAACGGAGTATATGAACTTTGTTTTATACAAATCGAGCAATAAATAATTAATCTAGGACTGAAAAACTGAATTAACCAATGACGACTAAGGAAAATTACTGAGACAAAAAAATTTCATATTTTTGCCCAAGTCAGATGACTCGTTAATTTTGTGTAAAACACGACTAAAAAATATTCATAAATAAAAAAGTTTTTTGTAAAAATTTAAATTTTCAAATTTCGAACGACAAAAGCCATAGATGATACATTTGTTACATGTAAGAGTACAGTACTTCCTGTGATAATGAAAATGTTCAATTAGTTTTATGAAATCAGTAATGGCATAAGGCATCACATGATGAAAATTTTATGTAAATCGAATAATAATTGCCACTTTTATAGACCAAAAACCTTGAAAAGTGACTTGTAGAAAAATGTCTATTTCTCTGCAACCGTACAAGTTAGAAACCATTTTCTGGTATCTGTATGATCGTATGGGTTCAATCTATTTGTTGATTGGAATCAAATATCATAATTTTAAAAACATTACAAATCAGACTCATTTGAATAAAATATCTGTTTTGAAGGCTAAAAATACAGTTTTTGCCAAAATGACGTTACTTCCGGTGATAATGAAATTTAAATTACTTGTATGAAATTGTAAATGGCATTAGGTATCACTCACACAGTGAAAATTTTATGAAAATCGAATAATAATTGACACTTTTATGGACCAAAAACCTTGAAAAGTGACCTGTTGAAAATCGCCTATTTCTCCGCAACTGAACAAGTTAGAAACAATTTTGTGAAATCTATATGACCGTATGAATTTTAGTAATATGTGAATGTAAACCAAAAGTTAAAATTATTAATACATATTAAATAATTCTTGGTTGAAAAAAATATTGATTTTGAAAGTTAAAAATGCATTTTTGACAAAATGGGGTCACTTCCGTGTCAATTTTAAAATGTAATCAATTTGATACGACGCATACTTGCTTTTTGAATCAAATGGTGTCACTTTTATGAAAATCCAATAATAATTGACTATTTTACAGGCAAAATAACGAAAAAGGTGACTTGTGCAAAATTGCCCATTTCTAGGTAACTGCTTATATTACAAACTAATTTTAACATATATTTTCTTCGTATAGATTATAACTACAAGTTTATAAAAGTTACGTAGAAATATTTTAAAATCTGAAAAGCCTGAATGGGTTGTAAATAGGTCAATTTTACACCTTTTTATGCGCCCACATTGAAATGTGGACGTATACTATTCAAAAAAAGTAGGGGATATTTGATTTTTAAGTGTTATTAAAGTCACCTAATGAAACTGACGAAGAAACAAATGACAAAATGAAATGAAGTTCACATTCATCGATTTATTCCAAATGATCGTTAGACTAAGTAAGGCACAGACTGACCATTATAAGGGTAAAATGATACCCGGGGTCAAACAGCAAAGTTACCACAGCATCACAACCAAGTCAGTAACGGGTAAATCCTCCTGTGTTTGCCAAACAAGCATTGATCCGACGTTGCATACTCCTAATGAGACATCTTAGGTCATTTTGGTCCAGATTGTCCCATTCCTGTTGCAACGCAGCAGCAAGTTCTTGGACATTGGCAGGACGTTGTTGACGTTGACGTAACCTCTGTCCAAGCATGTCCCAGACATGCTCGATGGGGGAGAGGTCGGGACTCAGTGCTGGCCAAGGTAATGTGGTGATGTTCTGTTGTTGGAGGTAACCTGTAACGATCCTGGCCCTGTGACATCTTGCTTGTCATCCTGGAAGATGAAACGGCGGCCATGACGTCGTGCGAACGGCACAACATGGACTGCCAAGATGTTGTCCCGGTAGTACTGGCCTGTAACACGCCCTGCAACAACATGTAAAGCCGTTCTTCCAGAAACAGTGATGCCTCCCCACACCATAACAGAACCACCCCCAAATCGATCATGTCTGATGACGTTAACGTCTTGGAAGCGCTCGTTTCGACGACGCCACACCCTCCTACGTCTGTCCAAAAAATCAACAGTGAACCTTGACTCATCTGAAAACATCACATTGCTCCAGCGTCGATTATCCCAGTGTTGACGATCCCTACACCAACGACGTCTTGCCTGAATGTGATGATCTCTCAAACAAGGGATCACGCGAGGACGTCGGGCGCGAAGGTGACCCCTATGCAGTCGATTCTGAATCGTCTGGCCACTCACTCTCACACCAGTGTCTGTTTGAAGACGGGCGCTGATCTGATTTGCTGTGATGACACGATTTCTCAAGGCCAAGGTACGGATAAATCGATCCTGGGCTTGAGTTGTCGCCCTTGGTCGACCTGAGCGTGGTCTGTCCTGTACAGATTGTGTATCACGGTATCTGGACCATAGCCTGCTTATGACAGACTGAGAAACATTCATCGTCCGCGCCACAACCGCCTGTGTTGTGCCGATCTGTAGCATGCCAAGGGCACGTAACCTTTCATTTTGGGTAAGCCGACGCATATCAAAATTTGTTTTCTGGTCACTAAAACAATTAAACTGATGTTTCCACCCTGGAATTCAATGCCACAATGACTGTAACATTCAAAGTCAGAGTCGTGCAAATCTTGGGTTGGACCCCCATGATGATCCCAAGCATCACCTGCATTCCATGCGGTAGCTATTGGTGCGTTTGGGCGTCACATGTAACTGGAAATGTTTCTTCTGTTAGGTTCTATAGTGACGTTTTTCGTAGTCATTTGCATATTTTAGTATTATGCCCCCAAAATCAAATATCCCCTACTTTTTTTGAATAGTATATATTGCCGTCACCCCCGCCCGTCCATCCATCGTCCACAATTTCTTGTGAACGCTCTAACACCAAAAGTTATCATCCAATTGTGTTAAAATTGATATATGTGGTTTACATTAGTGAGATGAAGAAGCCTATTTAATTTCAATAATTTCTGTTTATTACGTCTAGAGTTATGGCCCTTGTTTCACTTTGTTGAACCTTGTGAATGCTCTAATGCCAAAAGTTAACATACGATCTTTGTGAAATTTATATGCAATATTTAAGTTAGTGAAACGAAGAAGCTTATTGAATTTCAACAATTTCTGTTTATTACGTCTAAGAGTTATGGCCCTTGTTTCACTTTATTGAACCTTGTGAATGCTCTAATGCCAAAAGTTAACATACGATCTTTGTGAAATTTATATGCAATATTTAAGTTAGTGAAATGAAGAAGCCTATTGAATTTCAACAATTTCTGTTTATTACGTCTAGAGTTAGGGCCCTTGTTTCACTTTATTGAACGTTGTGAACGCATCTAACTCCAAAAGTTATCATCCAATCTTTCTGAAATTTACATGCATTATTTAAATTAGTGAAACGAAGAAGCCTATTGAATTTCAGCAATTTCCGTTAATTACATCTAGAGTTATGGCCCTTGTTTCACTTTATTGAACCTTGTGAACGCTCCAACGCCAAAAGTTATCATTCGATCTTTGTGAAATTTATATGCATGATTTAAATTAGTAAAACGAAAAAGTCTATTGAATTTCGGCAATTTCCGTTTATTACGTCTAGAGTTATGGCCCTTGTTTCACTTTGTTAAACCTTATAAATGCTCGATTGATGATAGTTATCATCCGATATGTATGAAATTAATATGCATCATTTAAATTTGTGAAACAGGTCTATTGAATTTCAGCAATTTCCATCAATAATTTCTAGAGTTATGGCGATTGTGAACGTTTGAATGACAAAAGTGATCATGTGATCTGTGTGAAATTTATATGCATTATTTAGATTAGTAAAACGAAAAAGCCTGTCAAATTTCAACAATTTCTGTAGATTACTTCCAGAGTTGAGACCCTTGTT